ATTCCACCTTAGGTTGTTATAGGGTTTAGGGTTTAGGGCTTAGGGCTTAGGGCTTATAGGCTTAGGGCTTAGGGCTTAGGGCTTAGGGCTTAGGGCTTAGGGCTTAGGGCTGAGGGCTGAGGGCTGAGGGCTGAGGGTTTAGGGTTTGGGGCCAGTTTAGGGATTAGGGTTTAATGTTGCACCCGCAATATTCTAGGGGGCCGCTATGATGAAAAGTTTTTCGGCTATTCAGGATCTGGACCCTTTGTTTTGGAGGTCCGCTACAATGAAAAGTTTTCGGGCCGTGACTGTTTCTTTGAGGGTGTCAGGAAGGCATAAGCTTCTCGAGAAGGAGAGATACTTGAAGCCTGAAGCCTCGACCTGTCCAGGATCTCCGACAATCTTCTTTTTTCAGGGCGCCTTTTCTTTATAAATTCCTTACTTAAAACTAGATGATTCCATAGGCGAATCATATCCGGAAAAGGGGTACCTTACGGAGGCCTCCGGACACACTTTAATACCTTTGTTTGGGGGCCCTCTAGAATGCAAGTCTCCCGGGGCCAGGGGCTCAGTCCTTCGGTTTTCAGGAAGGCACAAGCTTTCTCGAGAAGGAGGGATACTTGAAGCCTGAAGCCTCGACCTGTCCAGGATCTCCGACAATCTTCTTTTTTCAGGGCGCCTTTTCTTTATAAATTCCTTACTTAAAACTAGATGATTCCATAGGCGAATCATATCCGGAAAGGGGGTACCTTACAGAGGCCTCCGGACACACTTTAATACCTTTGTTTGGGGGCCCGCTATAATGCAAGTCTCCCGGGGCCCGGGGCTCAGTCCTTCGGTTTTCAGGAAGGCATAAGCTTTCTCGAGAAGAAGGGATACTTGAAGCCTGAAGCCTCGACCTTTCCTGGGTCGGCGGGTAGCTTAGGGAGGCCTCCGGGCTCCGGACCCCTCCCCTGCCTGACTGTTTGGGGTCTTTTTTTATTCAGGGTCGCGACTGTTTGGGGGGGGGGGGGGGGGGACATATTAAAGCAGGTCCAACATTAGGGTTTAGGGTTTAGGGTTTCGGGCTTAGTAGGGTTTAGGAGGGCAGGGGTATCCTTGCCTCAGTGCTTCCCACATCAAAGCCTTTAACAATCTAAACCCCCCCCCCCGCCCAAAAAAAAAAAAAAACGAAATCCACAGGTCCAGGCGGCGCAGACCTTGGAGCCAATCTTTCGCTGGTGGTTGTTCCCACACATGGAGCACAGGCGGCCTTCGTAGCCGCGAGGGCAGGCGCCGGCGCAGACTTGCTCAGTGCATCCTCTTGCTTCTCCAATACTGAAGGGAAAAAAAGGTTAAACCTTAAACCCTAAACCCTAGACCCTAAACTTCCCACTAAGTAAGGAAACCCAAAAAGGTTATAAAGTTCGGGGTGTTGGCGAAGTAAGTCCTGGGCCCATGCACTGGTAGCACATGTCCCCGATCCGGGTTTTCCCTTCTGGGCACGCGCAGCAGCGGCTTCGGCTGCCTTTCACTGGGATGGAGGTGACCCCTCCCGGGCAGATCGTGCAGTTGGTCCCCTCGCCTTGATAGCCAGTCAAGCAGTGGCACAGGTGCCAGGGAGCAAAGGTGTCCGGCGACACCATAAGATCGAAGAAGTGGTTCTCCTTCGACCTGAGGCCGAGGCATTCCCATCCCTCTCCCATGTTCCGTTGCACTGAGCTCACCGATTGGTCGCTGACTTCGAAGACGTCCTCCCACTGGCGCGGGCCATCTACACCCCAGATCGAGCCTTTCACTTCCGAGTCGAAACTCGACTGCCTGATGTTCAGGCTGCTGGGCCACGCGAAGTACATCCTTGGGACTTCGCTAGCTTCCAGGGGTTTCTGTGGGTCTTGGGCTTGTTTTCTGGGCTTACGAGGGCTTCCTGGTGCCGGACCCAAGGCAAAACACCTCTCTTACTTTCAGGGGCCCTTCTAAACCCCAAACCCTAACCCCAGACCCTAAACCCTAAGCCCCAAACGTGCCGACCAAGCCCGTTTCACTTCAAGCCTAAACCCTAAACCCTAAACCCTAAACCCTAAACCCTAAACCCTAAACCCTAAACCCTAAACCCTAAACCCTAAACCCTAAACCCTAAACCCTAAACCCACCTACTTCATGCGATCTCCATCCCAAGCTTCTCGGAGATGCGCGCGAGGGGGTTCCCTTCCAGATCGTAGGAGCAGTCTCCGAGCGGGCGGCCGGCCAGCTCTGTGATGTTGTTGCCCGAAAGATCCTAGTCCATGGCTGGGATAATATTAACAACTTAATGTGTTTATTCCTTGTTGGGTTTAAGTATTAATATGAAAAAATTGTTTTTGTTTATTCCTTGTTGGGTTTAAGTACCCTTAAGCATGTAAAATGTTGCCCAACTATGACACAGGATCCAGAATGTAGAGCCCGAAGTAAGTTGGGAAGAGCCGATGGGAACGCATGTCCTGAGCAAAACCCCCATTGGGTGGAGGATGCGGAGGCGTGTGGAATATGGGGGGTTTAGGGTTTCGGGTTTAGGGTTGAGGGTTTAGGGTTTAGGGTTTAGGGTTTAGGGTTTAGGGTTTAGGGTTGAGGGTTTAGGGTTTAGGGTTTAGGGCTCAGGGCTCAGGGTTCAGGGTTTAGGGTTTTTGGTTCAGCTGACGACATGCCATACCATGCCGCACCCGAAGCCCCCTGGTGTGTGGCGTCCTGGATGGCGCCCCGCAGACCGCAGCCTTCCTTGGCTGCTCTTAGCAGGGTTGCTATAATTTTAAATTTTTAGCTGCCTTCTTAAGAAACCCCAATAGACCCAAAAAGGCTAAAGATGTAAAGTTACCAGTAAAGCACCACAAAGTTTCAGCTTGGAGCCAGAAGAGCTTGTCGTTGTACATCAGGGGCAGCAGGAGATCCCAGATGTCCTTGCTTCGAAGTCAACCCCTAAACCCTAAGCCCTAAACCCTAAACCCTAAACCCTAAGCCCTAAACCCTAAACCCGAAACCCTAAACCCGAAACCCTGAACCCTAAACTGCGGAGCTTGCGGTAGGGGAGGGAGAGGGACAGGCAGAGGGAAATTCAGGGTGTCAAGGAGGGAGGTTTCCTGAACCCTAAAACCACAAGGCCTCTTGAGATCGCCTTGAGAGGCGGACGGAAGCCTTCAGAGTCCAAGGCTTCAGAGTTGGGATGTTCCCCCTTACACGAACAGTCCTTAATAGGGACTAGAACCGGGGGGTACTATAGTCCCGATTAAGGACTGTTAGTATAAGGAGGGGGCATCCGAACCTCAGTGTGTGCGCGCTTTGAGGCGCTGAGGATCCGCCCAACAAGAAGGAAAGAGGAAACAGGGAGAGACCTTTCAAGCGGCCCCCACCCACCCCGTCGTTGCCCTGAACGATACGGACGGTCCTTCCTATGATTTCAGGGTTTAGGGTACAGGGTTTGGTGTTTGGGGTTTCAGGGTTGGGTTTGGGGTTTGGGGTTTAGGGTTTAGGGTTTAGGGTTTAGGGTTTAGGGCTTAGGGCTTAGGGTTTAGGGTTTAGGGTTGCTTAAACTAAGGGGCCTGGGTCGTCTTCTGCGGATTTTGGGGGCAAGGGTCCATGTTCAGCGGACATCCATTCAGGTCCAACCTCGCCAGGCGGGGAAAGGGCTTCTTGGCAGTCCTCTTGTCCTTGACCTTGGGCTTAGGGTTTAGGGTTTAGGGTTTAGGGTTTAGGGTTTAGGGTTTAGGGTTTAGGGTTTAGGGTTTAGGGTTGAGGGTTTAGGGTTTAGGGTTTAGGGTTTAGGGTCTAGGGTCTAGGGTTTAGGGTTTAGGGTTTAGGGTTTAGGGTTTAGGGTTTAGGGTTTAGGGTTTAGGGTTTAGGGTTTAGGGTTTAGGGTTTAGGGTTTAGGGTTTAGGGTTGCATTACTAAGGGGCTTGGGCCGGCTGCGGGCGAAACTTCTCTAAGTTTTCGCACCTCTTAAACCCCTCACCCTAGACCCTAAACCCTAAACCTTAAGCGGCGGGCTCAACACTCAAGGCAAGGACACTTCGGGTGCTGTTGTAAGTCTGGGTGCCTCGGTTCGGGGGTCCTCTACTTGGGTGCCATGTGTAAACCTCAACCCTATTCCTTCAACCCTCAACCCTCAATCCTCAACCCTAAACTTAGGGTCACTTCTTGAAGTCCAGTTCCTTTCGTTTGAGGTTCCAGAGCAGAGCATACGAAAGCACTTAGGTTTTGGGCTTGAACACCTACCTCTTAGGGGGCCCGAGATGGGAAAAAGCAAACTTCTCAGCAGCCAGGGCACGATCGCGGGCTCGTCCATGTTGAAGGTCACTCGTGAATTGCTGAGGCGCAAATAGATCCTTACTTCTCCAATAACCAAAGGGAAAAAAGGCTAGACGTTAACATTCCTACTAAATAAGGAAACCCAAAAAGATTAAAGTTCAACTAAAGGCGAAGCCTAAACCCTAAACCCTAAACCCCAAACCCTAAACCCTAAACCCTAAACCAAGGATCAGGTCCTGGCCAAGGTCGAGCCACTCCGAGTTGATGGAGCCGTACGCCCTTGTGCCACGCAGGTCCAGCCACGTCATGAGCCTCTTTCTGAACTTAGTGAGAACCCCAAAAAGTTGGAAACCTCTTTAAGGACAACTAGTGCTGGGATTGCCTACACTTTACTCTTAGGGATTGAGACTATTGAGTTTCCAACTTTTTGGCTTCTACTATAGTGAACCCTCGCAAAAATGTTCTACTTGTTGCTGTTTCTTAGGAATATGATATTGTAGTACCCCCCAAAAAAATTAACACAACTATTCCCAAGTTATCCCCTAAGCAACTTGTTGGCGCGCAGAAGCTGGGTGATGTCTCCGGTGACGGAGGTGTACCTTGATTGTTGCAAGGGTGAAGGGTGGCTGTCTCTCATGTGGCGGCGATGGCTCCAGCACCCAAACCCAGATCCCAAACCCGAGACCTCTAGCCAGAGACCCCAACACTTCAAACCCCTAAACCCTCAACCCCAAACCCTAAACCCTAAATTCTGGACCCCAAACCCCAAACCCTAAACCCTAAGCCCGAGGTTCTGGAGGAAGACGCCTCTCAGCCGCCGGATATCCAATGCAGAGACCAGCGCGGAGAGGTTCCTTTGGCGCTTAGGGTGTAAGGTTTAGGGTTTATAGGGTTTCCAGGTGTTAGCGTTCATTCCCTTTCTATGCCATATAAAAAAGGGTTTTGCCTCTCGTTCTTGCGGGGGGCTTGGGAGCTTTGATCCACACAGCGTGAAGCCTTGCAAGACGAAGTTGCGATTTTTGCTGGCAATGGGACACCTTAGCCCTTTCGCCCGAGCCTTAAACCCCTAAATCCATAAACCTGGACTGAGGGCGCTGCCGACACGTCCAAACAGTTCCCATCCCAGAAGCCCTAAACCCGAAAACCCGGCCCCTGAACCCCAAAATCCTCCACCCTAACCTCACCCCTATCGGTTCCCGTACTTCTCCGAAGCCGTGACTAGAGTCGAAAAAAGTTTAGATAGGCCCATCACTTGGTTTTGCACATTCAAAGCACCAACAAGGGTTTAGGGCTTGAAGTGCTTTAAGGGTCTGAAGGGTTTTAAGAGCAAGGCGTAAAAGGGCTTAAAGGGTGCTTTAAAGGGCTTTAAGGGCTTTAAGGGCTCAGGGGGTTTAGGGTTCCAAGGCTCCAGGGGCACAAGCACTGAGCCTTGGTCGGAACCTCGAAAGTCATTGGAGACTGAAGCACAACAGCGTGTGACGGTTTAGGGTTTAGGTTTTAGGGTTTAGGGTTTAGGGTTTAGGGTTTAGGGTTTGGGGTTTGGGGTTTAGGGTTTTGGGTTTAGGGTGCTGTATACCTCTGCATATGCATATACACGACCATATACATATGCACATACATCTGCATATACATGTGCACGAATGTACGCTTATATATGTATAGATCATGAAAGCAAACTTTAGACAAGGATGGCCGCACCCTATCCAGAAACCCCAAGCAACCCTTCACGAAAAAAAAATAAAGAAAGCCACGAACCAAAAACTTTCCCAAGGAGACGAAAAGGTTCCCGGTAATCGAGCTCGCGCCGCGGAAGTCGAGGAACTCCAGGCGGTCCCAAATAAACTCCTCTCGGACGAACATCAGATCCAGTGTTTAGGGCTTCCTGATTTTGATAACTTTAACCCTAAACCCTAAACCCTAAACCCTAAACCCTAAACCCTAAACCCTAAACCCTAAACCCTAAACCCTAAACCCTAAACCCTAAACCCTAAACCCTAAACCCTAAACCCTAAACCCTAAACCCTAACCTAAACCCTAGACCCTACACCCTAGACAGTCACTCAAGAGACTTGAAGTCCTTGAGGTCATGGAGGTCCCCATAGATGTCCCGTGGGTTCTTGCCTGAAGAAGGATTCAGTTAGTATAGGGCTTAGGGTTTAGGGTTTGGGCTTAGGGCTTAGGGCTTAGGGTTTAGGGTTTAGGGTTTAGGGCTTAGGGTTTAGGGTTTAGGGTTTAGGGTTTCGGGTTTAGGGTTCAGGGTTGCCAGAAAAGGTTTGTTTTTGGTGGGTGGGAGGGGGGGAAGGGGGGAGGGGGGTTATTGTAGTGGAACTATATAGGGAACATACGGGAATACTCTTGATAATTCTTCCGAAAGCCTACAGAATTTTCCAGGATCTGGGGATTTCGGCCACCCTAAACCCTAAACCCTGAACCCTAAACCCTGAACCGAGGGTGTAGTGACAATGTTCCAGCGACTTCGGGTCTAAGGTTTAACTACGAGCTTAGGTTCTCGGGTCTAGAGAGGCTGGGGTTTTCTTGAGGTTTAGGGACTATAAGGTTCAGGTAAGGCACAGGGCCGAGGGTTGAAGGAGTTATATAGGGTTTCGGGTTTAGGGTTGAGGGATTTCGGGTTTCGGGTTTAGGGTTTAGGGTTTAGGGTTGAGGGATTTAGGGCTTGGGACGCTTGCCTGAGAGCTTCAGGCCCTTGAGCGGGTTCTGCAGGTTGAGGTCAGCCAAGGCGCCTGGCTCAGGGGTTTGGGTTTTTGGGGCTTTGGGGCTTTGGGGCTTTGGGGGTTCGGGGTTTTGGGGCTTTGGGGGTTTTGGGGGGTTTTGAGGTTTTGAGGTTTTGGGGTTTTGGGGTTTTGGGATTTTGGGGTTTTGGGGTTTTGAGGTTTTGAGGTTTTGGGTTTTGGTTTTTGGGGTTTAGGATTCGGGGTTCAGGGGTCAGGGTTCCGAAGCCAATCCGGCTTTTTGCACTTTGGGGGCTCAGAGGGTGGCCGGTGTGTCTGTCCAGGGCCTCATTTACGACAAACGCCAGTATTCGAGCAAGGGATGGGCCTTGTTCAGACCACTTTTAGCGTAGCTAAAGTCTAAGTATTACACCAAGTCCTCTCACCACTGCGTCACCACGCGACCGTGCTTGAGCACAATGCTCCACTCCCCGCATCTGCACCCATGCAACCAGCAAGCCTCAACCCAAACCCCGTAGACCCTACCTGGATCCAAGGGCCCCAGATCTTGGGGTTTAGGGTTTAGGGTTTTGGGTTTTGGGTTTAGGGTTTGGGGTTTGGGGTTTGGGGTTTAGAGTTTAGGGTTTAGGGTTTAGGGTTTAGGGTTAAGGGGTTAGGGTTTAGGGTTTAGGGGGTTTAGGGGGTTTAGGGGGTTTAGGGGGTTTAGGGGGTTTCGGGGGTTTAGGGGGTTTAGGGGGTTTAGGGGGTTTGGGGTTTGGGGTTTGGGGTTTAGGGCTTATAAGCCCCAAGTCATCGGGACCTCGCAGAGGGCACTCGCGAGCATGCAGTTCCACCTGTCATGGGTTACCCTACTACCCCCCGTCTATACTACCAGTCCTAAGGGTAGTTCTATGGTCCTGGTCCCTTGCCTTCTTTAAACAATTCTGAAGTATGGGCCCTTGGGTTTTGAGCCACGGGTACATAAGGGGTCCCCTTTTAAGGGCCCATATCATTGAGGGACCATGTAACGACCCTAAGAACAGTAGCTTGCCCAAGTTAGTAAGTTCCACGAACCTTTATGCCCTGAACCCCTTCAACCCTGAACCCTAAAAACCCCCCAAAGCCGCAGCCTTCGACCTTGATTCAGGGAAACGCCGAAATCAGTTTCAAAATGAGGAGCCTTGCAACTGATACATGAGGATGTTCCCCCTTATACTAACAGTCCTTAGCAAGGTTCATAGTATCCCCTACTATAGTCCCTACAAAGGACTGCGAGTATACGGGGAAACACCCCTAAACCCTAATTAAACCCTAAACCCTGAACCCCAAACCCCAAACCCTAAACCCGAAACCCGAAACCCGAAACCCGAAACCGAAACCCGAAACCCGAAACCGGGGGGAGTTCCCGGCTGCGCCCCGAACCTTGAAACCCGAGCCCTAGTTGGGGCCCCACCAAGCGACCTGAAACCCTAAACCCCAAACCCTCAACCCTAAACCCTAAACCCTAAACCCTAAACCCTAAACCCTAAACCCTAAACCCTAAACCCTAAACCCTAAACCCTAAACCCTAAACCCTACCTCGAATCCCCCCCTTAACTCCCTAGGTGGCCCCGCCAGGTGTTCTGGCAGAAAAAGGTCGCCCAAAGCGCCCGCGATCCCAGAGTTGTCCACGAAGAGGCCGCGGAGATGGGCCAGGCATCCTGGGTCGTAGGGTTTAGGGTTTAGGGTTTAGGGTTTAGGGTTTAGGGTTAGGGTTTAGGGTTTAGGGCTTAGGGCTTAGGGTTTAGGGTTTGGGGTTTAGGGTTTAGGGTTTGCTTGAGGCCTCCCCGCAAAGCAGGGGAATATACTCTTCCTTATAAGGGTACATAACACGGGGGATTATTCTCCTTTCTCTTTTGGTGGTTCTTAAGCGGATCGTAGCTGGGGTTTGGGGTTTGGGGTTGAGTGCTTGAGGGCACCCCTTGAAAATTCCTTTGGGGTGGGGCCTTCGCTTGGGGGGCCCTGCCCTAGACACCAGACACATGCACAGCGATGATTTCAAGGGGTGTTGCGAAAGCTGCCCTCACTCCTTCACATCACCATGCACCCCACAAGCCCTCCGAAGCCCCTGCAGCCCCTAAACCCTAAACCCTGCCCTAAACCCTAAACCCTAAACCCTAAACCCTAAACCCTAAACCCTAAACCCTAAACCCTAAACCCTAAACCCTAAACCCTAAACCCTAAACCCTAAACCCAAACCCCAAACCCTAAACCCCCACCCCCGAAAGAATTCCAGCGGTGGGTCAGCGGGTGATTCACAACTCAAAACGCGGGGATTCGGAAACTGGAACCACCTGATTCTCTACCGAACTCGGAACCCTAGCAAAACTATATATATGTATATTGTTTTTATCTATTTCTTTAGCTGCTCGTTAGGATTTACAGTGCCCAAAAAAAATCTAAATGATTCTCAAGAATCCCTAAGGAGTCGGGAAGCTGAAAAAACGCGCACTCGGAAGTCAAAAGCGCGGATTCGGGAAACCAGCAGCCGGGAAACCCGCTGATGCAGGAAACTGGAACACGCAGATTCGGAAGGGTTAGGGGAGTAGCCCTCTGAACCCTGACACCTACATGCTAAGCATGCCTAAGGAATGAAAAACGAAACCTTAAGTGACTGAGTTTTGATCAAACAGGGTGAAAAAATTTTTCAAGGGCAGCTTAAGACTCTAAGGCGGTTGGATACCAAAAAAAGCCTGACCAAAACCGAGGCGAGTGTCGCAACGCGCAGCTCATTTGCGACGCAGTCACCAGTGCTCCCCCAGGGGGCGGATGCTTGATGGCCAAGTCCCGTACGCGGGTGGCGTTGTCATAAAACACGCTGAAAAAACTTGAGAGGTACTTGCGAGTGTTGGCTTCGGGGATGGTGGCGTTCGTGTCCCCGGGCAGCCACAGCGTCTTCAAAAACTCGATGGCCTACCAGAAGGCATCGGTTGATTCAGGGCTTGGAGGCCCTAGCAGGAAGATTGCGAGACTGCACTGAAAAGACCGCCACGTCCCGGAGGTTTGCTTGCAGTTTAGGGTTTAAGGTTTCGGGCTTAAGGAATGATAATGATGGCGTCTCTCAAGCACCCCAACACCCCACGACTGCGCACCCGAAACCGGAAAGCACGCACCTTCACCTCTCTCGAATCTGCATCGTCCGCGGGACCGCATATGCTGTGGCAATCTAGCGATCCTCCTTTCAAAAGGCTGGGTTCAAGGCTTCGAGCTGCCGTTCAAGAACTGGAGCTTAGCTTCCACCGTACTTCTGGCAACTTATAGGGTTTAGGGTTTGGGGTTTAGGGTTTAGGGTTTAGGGTTTAGGGTTTTAGGGTTTAGGGTTTAGGGTTTAGGGTTTAGGGTTTAGGGTTTAGGGTTTAGGGTTTAGGGTTTAGGGTTTAGGGTTTAGGGTTGAGGGTTGAGGGTTGAGGGTTGAGGGTTGAGGGTTGAGGGTTGAGGGTTGAGGGCGTCTTGCCGCGCTGCGGCAGTAAGTCCTGTGTGGAATGGCGCCCCCCACACACCCAGGGGGGTGTGGGGGGAAGGCATGTCAAACGCGAGGCATAAACTTTCATGCCCACGACTCAAAGACTCTTCAACCTGTAACGGTAGACCCTGGAGCTGCACTCAAGCAACAACCATCCGAAACGTGATATTATATCCAATTATAAGCCATTTTGGCACGCGTGGCAAACAGTCAATCCGAGCCTGCCTGGATCTGCCTGGCTTTGCATGCTGAGTCGCTCGTGCGGATCCACACGCAGCATGCGCTGCGCAACACGCCAAGTATTCTGGGTCTGGCTCATTTCCGTTTCTGAAGGCATCGGGGCGCAAACAGCAAAAGCGCAGCTCAACAGACTGCACAGCTGGAGCTGCGTCGAGCCACTGGGACGCCCAAGAGTAGGCTCCCAGAAGCTAGCTGATGCAGCGTCACTGCTGCACTCCACACATCAAGAGCCTCCAACTGGTCTTCGCGCTCTCGCGCAGTCTCATGTGCCACACAGGCAATGTTGCCCGCGAATCGGGTACTTTTGACCTATCATTTTGTCCGAGATGGCTTTCCTCGACAAAAAACAACGGTACTGACAAGATCAATAATAATCGTGGTTGCCACGCCGCGAGAGTTTCCTAAGGGTCAGGGGGCACGGCTTCTTTTGAGAGTCATCTGCGCTTTTAGCTCACTGATCTCTAGATTCTGCTAGGCAACTCCTGCTGCAACCAGGCCCTTGCGCATGCCCACTGCATCGCCTGCATGCTGAAACAAGCAAGCGAGCAGAGCAGCCCTAAACCCTAAACCCCAAACCCTAAACCCTAAACGCCCCCTGAATCCCCTAAGACCCCCCACCTACCCGGTCCTTCGGCTGTGGCGCCGATCCACGGCCGCTGGATTGCGGGACCTGGACTTAGGGTTTAGGGTTTAGGGTTTAGGGTTTAGGGTTTAGGGTTTAGTGTTTAGGGTTTAGGGTTTAGGGTTTAAGGTTGAGGGTTTAGGGTTTAGGGTTGAGGGTTTAGGGTTTAGGGTTTAGGGTTTAGGGTTTAGGGTTTAGGGTGTTGAGGGTTTGGGGATGTTGGCGTTTAGGGGTTGGAGTTTGGGATTTAGGGTTTGGGGGTTGCGGTTTGGGGTTATTTCGCTTGGGGATGTTTGGAATTTAGGGCTCGGAGCCGCTTAGCGTGGGGGGCCAGCGAACACTGAGATGATGGTGCACGTCTCTTCTGGGGTACACGGAGCATGTGGGCAGCACTTTTCCGAGAATGGGTTGAGGGTTTAGGGTTTAGGGAATTCTGAGACATATTCCGGGGATGGGGATGAAACTTCACTTGTCCCTTGTGTGTGCATTCAACTGTCTCCCTAAGCCCTAAACCCTAAACCCTAAACCCTAAACCCTAAACCCTAAACCCCGATAGAAATCCTGAGGCCACTGACTAGAGCTTCAGGGTTTCAAGGCTTCATGGATTCAAGCCTCAGGCTTCTGGTTTCCAACCGCCAGGGTTTAGGGTTTAGGGTTTAGGGTTTAGGGTTTAGGGTTTAGGGTTTAGGAATGCAAAGCCGGAAACCCTAAACTCTAAACCCGAAACCCTAAACCCTAAACCGGGAAACCCTGCCAGCCTCTTCTAGCAACCTCTCTAGGATTTAGGGCTTAGGGCTTAGGGCTTAGGGCTTAGGGCTTAGGGGTTAGGGCTTAGGGCTTAGGGCTTAGGGCTTAGGGCTTAGGGCTTAGGGCTTATCGGGCTTAGGGCTTAGATGGCTGCTAAAAACTCCTCCTCCGTCGCACGGGGCCTGTCCCGCACAGCACGCACGGGAAGACCAGCGGGGCGACGGCGGCCAGGGTGAGGGCCCATCGGGGCAGCAGGGGGGCTGCCACCATGGCCCATCGCCGTTGGGGGCGCTCGACCCTGAAAAATCCCTGAACCTTGGAGCACGAAAAAAGGCCCCACCCCCCAAAAACCGAAAGCATTAGTAACAATAGAAGAATATAAAATCATACTAAGAATCATACTGATGATAATCATAATTTGGCAGTTCTCAATAAATCGGAGCCCCGCGAAAGGTCCGTCACTCTCAGAGGGGGGCCTTTTGAACTGAATTCAGGAAAAGGTAGGGGCTACCGAGGTATATAGAGACTCTATAAGGTATATAGACAGGCAAAATAGGGGAAGAAGATGCAGAAGGATGGGTCCCTCCTCACCTCCTCACATTCCCTAAAGAGACTCGAAATCCCAACGGTTCAAGCTCTCCAAGGCGAGAGAAGCCGTTTATGATCGGGACGGCGAAATTTGCCTGGGTTTGGGGTTCAGGGGTTCAAGGCTTCGGGCTTTTCAGGGGATCTTGTCTTTCAGGAACCATGAATGAATCGACGTTGTTATTCTTCGGGTTCCTGAGTGGGCTGTCTCCTCCGAACATCTGTCCCAACTCCCAACCGCTTGAGAGATAGCTCCGGCGAGCGGTCAGCAACTTGGCTGGCGAGCTGCCAGCACAGCGCATACCCCCGGCTCGGGTTCGAATGACCCCTAGATTTTCTTGTTTGAGGTCCAGCTTCTTCAACAGGCAGTTCCCACAGCAGCCCTCTCCAAAAGACCATACCAGAGGAAGTGCTCAACGCTCAGGGTAAACCACTGAACCCTGAACCCTAATCAAACCCTAAACCCATGACCCTACTTAAACCCTGAACCCAAAACCCATAGCCCAGAACCCTAAACCTGGTGTGTGTTTCAGCCGGCGGCAAGCCATACGCACATGAACCCAAGTAGGTATACACCTCGAAGAAGGAAGGTCTTCATCGACGCATGGCAGAATCATTCCGACATCCCCATCGAGACCTTGAACCATGAAGTTGGTTAAGCTAGACAGTTGGTTCGACTCGGGGTTTAGGATTTAGGGTTCGTAGGGTATTTATAGGGTTTATAGGGTTTATAGGGTTTATAGGGTTTATAGGGTTTATAGGGTTTATAGGGTCCATAGGGCTTATAGGGTTTATAGGGTTTATGGGGTTTATAGGGTTTATCGGGTTTGTAGGGTTTGTAAGGCTTATGGTTTTTTTTAGGGTTTATAGGGTTTAGGGGATTTAGAGGGTTTATGGGGTTTGGAGTTTCAGTTTAGGGTTTAGGGCTTAGGGGGTTTAGTGAAGCAGAGCTGCAAATATAAAGCACTTCGCAGCCACCGTTCGGAGGGCGTGCCGGGTTTCTCTCGTGATCTGCCGCTGCTGACCGCTTCAGAACACGGCTCAGAGGAGGCCCCCGGCTAAGCACCATGGGTTCCCCTACTTGGGGTTTAGGGTTTAGGGTTTAGGGTTTAGGGTTTAGGGTTTAGGGTTTAGGGTTTAGGGTACTTATAACCCACTTATAAGCCCCCTTAAGTGCCCTAATCTGGTTATAATTGGGCTATAAGTACAGTCATTATTGCGTTAATGAGTACCCTGAACCTCCAAGTGCTACCCGCGTCTATACTACCCCCCCCCCCTAGGTTCCCCCTTGAATAACCTGAATTGGGCTTAACTATCCCCAAATAGCCGTAATTATGGGGGGGGACCACGGGGGTAGTCTCGAGGGGCCAGTAGGGGAACCCATGAAAACATGACCGGCAAGACATTCGCCCTTTTAAAGGGGATGCTCGCCAAAGGATCTCAGCTACATGTGCCGCAATGCGATCTGAAGCCACCACCATACCAACAAACACTACACTACACCCCAACCACCCTTGAAGCCAAAACCCTAAACCCTGAACCACAACAACCCCTAAACACTAAACCCTAACGACCGCCCCACCGCAGCCCCCATGGCCCCCCCATCACTCCGTCTCAGAGGTTTTGCCCACCACCACCTGGATTGGCGCTTGCGCCTTCGCCTCACCTGAAATCGTGAAAAGGAACAAAAGCTCAGCCTTTGGCTTTAAGGGTTTAAGGGTGTGGGGTTTAGGTTTGGGGTTTGGCGTTTAGGGTTCGGGGGCTTGGTGCTTGGGGCTTAGGTGAGCTCAGGGAAAGTAAGGGTTTAGACTACCCCAAGAGAAGGTTAGAAGTTTACGTGACCTAGGACCCAGTAGGCCCCTATTCCCCTTTTCGTCTAAGGGCTTTGATTCCCTTACAAGCCCCCTTCAACACCAAAAAGGGCACCCTTGCTATTCCTAGGTTACTCTTGGGCCTAGGATTTACTCAGCGCCGAAGTCGCTGGCGCCGAGGATGCCGGCGGCATCCTGCTGCTTTTTGAGCTTGGCTTGCTGGGCCAGCAGATGCACGTTCCTCCGCCCGGCGCCGTCATCCTCGGCGCTTTAGGGGTGGGAATCAGTACGGTTGTTCCCTTACGGCGTCTTTAGGTGTAGGTGTAGGCGTGAATTAACCAATGCCATTAGCTAGTCCATCTTGTGTATTCATAAGTGTACTATAACAATCCCCCCAAAACCTTATTCTAATTGATAAAGCCCCTATAAAGAGATTTTTAGGGTAGGGTTGCGAGAACCTCTACCTGCAATAGTGCAAACCCGAAGCCAGCCCCCACTAGGTGAGCCAGGCAGAAACCCCAAACCCCAAACCCCGAACCCCAAACCCTAAACCCTAAACCCTAAACCCTAAACCCTAAACCCTAAACCCTAAACCCTAAACCCTAAACCCTAAACCCTAAACCCTAAACCCTAAACCCTAAACCCTAAACCCTAAACCCTAAACCAGCACCAGCGGCCGGCGTCAGGAACTCGAACCCATCTGCATCCCACACGTTGTAGCTGTGGTTGATGCGCCGTCGGATCATCTCCCGCATGGGAGCCTCTGTGAACGCCTCGTCGAACACAGCGTTCCGAGAGCTCTTGAAGCAACCTGAAGTCTCTCTCTCTCTCTCTCTCTCTCTCGCAAAAAAGGTTTAGGATTAGGGTTTCGGGCTTCGGGCTTCGGGCTTAGGGTTTAGGGTTTAGGGTTTAGGGTTTAGGGTTTAGGGTTTAGGGTTTAGGGTTTAGGGTTTAGGGTTTAGCGTTTAGGGTTAAGGGTTAAGGGTTTAGGGTTTCGGGTTTAGGGTATGGTTTTTGAGATTTTGGGGTGAGGGCTTTCTACAAGCTCAAGTCGCCTCCTTCCCCCTAGTCCCTGCCAAACTTTGTGACGCACCCACCCCCCCCCCCGCCCTGTTGTGGGAACCCCCCCATTTCTTGGAGGAGCTGCAAACACTTTTTTGGCAAAAGCCCCCTCTGAGACCCCCCCTGAAACCCTTGCTGGGTCCTTCCTGGACTCGCTGGGACCCGCCTTGGGACCCCCTGGACACCCCCTGGGACCCCTAACACCCCCCTGGGACACCAGAAACCCTCCTTCCTCCTTTCCTGTCCGTGGGCTCGGCTGCCAGGCGGCACGCGCAAGCGTTTACATTTATGCCATGCTTACTTCTTTACACCCCGCCCTCCGGCGAGCCACAAGGACTTCCAGAACTTTGTAAATCCATCCCTGAGGTTTTCAGATGAACACCCGAAACCCCTAAACCCTAAACCCTAGACCCTAAACCCTAAACCCTAAACCCTAAGCCCTAAACCCTAAACCCTACACCCTAAACCCTAAACCCTAAACCCTATACGGGGGGAACCCGAAGGGGGACGAGAAACCGAAAAGTCAACCCCAACAGAATCCCTTGATTTCCCTGGATCAACCACACAACAAACCCAAACCACAGGGCACTCCCCTTTTACTACCAGGCACATGGCCCAGTCTTGAGCCAAAAAAATGATTTCCGGGTTTATTAACCCTTTCAACTTCCAACACTAACTTCTTTCTACAATACCAGTTGCAGCTCCGCACTCCCCCTGTCCTAGGATTTCCTAGGACACATTGGAGGTGCAGATTCTTTGGCCAAAAACTGCCATTAGGGCAGTAGCCTGCTGCTTGACATGCACAATATGGTTTAACGTCTACCAGGACGAAATTATAGCTCATTGGCCAAATCCACTAACCATAGAGAATCTTTTCACCATGATCCTCTCATCACTGAAGACTCCTTGGCCTTCTTCACCACAAACCGTGGTCTTCGCTACGCGAAAAGCTACTGACTTCTACTATCAGGGATTTCCATACCCTTAATAGTAACCACCACATTTGTCAGCACATTGGCTGTTCCAGCGCACCTGTCTCCAGAAAGAGAAAAACCATCCCTTCATCCATACCATCCAATCACTTCTTTTTCCGATTGTTGGCAATCTTGAGGTGAAGTTGCAGCAGAATATACTCCAGGTCTGAAACTGTAAGAACAGGATCCTGTACGCCCCTTTGAATTGAGGATACCAGTCCTTCTCTTTTCGCGTCCTCAATCGCTTGGCAAGGTTGACCCAGCTCTGCACTCACAGCTGCCGACGCTTGCTCATCCACATCAGGAGGACGATCCTTTTCTTCAGGACCTTTCACCACCACCACTTCTCCCTTTTTGGGACTCTGACTTTTCTCCTTCTTCTTCGCCTTTCCACCGACGATTGACTTTGCGCGCATTCTCGAGGCTTTTTCCCCTGCAGAAACCGCCGCATTGGTTGATGATCCACTCTTCTCAATGGTCGCCGGCATCTTCTTCGGCTTTGGAACCAGGAGGGTATAAGGATCTTCGATAACCACAGGTTTCCTCTTCTTTTTAACCTTTTTTGCCTCCTCCTCAACGATAACTTCCGTCTCAGAAGTCTCAACCACCTCCTTCTCGGCAGGAATATCTTTGCTGGACTCCCTTTCCAGGGACCTCTTCTTGCCCCTTTTGGGATCTTTTTCTTCTTCCAAGTTGGCTCGCTCGAACCATATCCTCAGGTCATTGACCCATTCTTCCACCTCCTCGAGCGAAACGTCATACGACTTCACTACTTCGTGAAGTTCCAGCACGGACAACATCTCGTCGGTCCACGAAACCCATTCTCTATCCATCTGGTCAGCGTCTCCCTTGAACTTCAGGAGTTTGAACAGTGGGTCCGCCTCTGCTCGAGCCAAGTCTGGTTTACCATTCGAAAGAATTGAAATCGCTTCCATCAACAGTTCCGACATTTTGGTGTCATCGTCATAGGTCATGGAATACTCCTCACCATCATCGAACTGTTCAGGAGAGATCTCCTTTTCTCCACCATTTGCACCAGAACTTCTCCTTGGACCATCCCTTGGGGGCGTCCTTGGAGACCTTGGCCTCTGTTCATCCAGCGGAACACCATGCTCGAAGACACACCTGTCACCATAACGACACTTCCCAGACCGAGCAAACTGGATGCACCTCACACCAGTTGCATCATGCGAGAACGCACAATCCTTTCCAGCGAAACAGTCTCTCCCTGCCACATAGTATTTGCACCAATACGAATGTAGCACCACATCATCTTCTGAATGGATGAATTTGCAGTCTTCACCAAATTTGCAGCGATCTTTCCCCTTGCTGAACCAATAGCAGAAGCCCTTCTTCCTCTTCTCCAAGCGCTCTGCCTCATACCGGTCCATAGGGCGATTGTGCTCTACATGAACATTGCCATGTACCTGGGGACTGCTCCCTTCACCCGACGTGCTATCAGTAGTTGGTGCTTGGAGTACAGCTGGAAAACCTGGCCTTGGTCCTACCACCTTCATGATTGGTTTTCCGCCAACTCCTGAGCCATGCTGAGACGATCCAAAAACATTGAACTTCTTCATGAGGGCTTTCCTAGTGCCGATCTTCTGCACCCTTTTGATTGGACGCTTCATTGTTCCAACCTTGCATCCAGATACGTTCAAACGACACAACCTCCTATACCCAGCTCTAGATCCCTTTTTCCAAAGAGCCATAAGAATTTTAGAGGCAGTAACATTCTCCACCTCTACCTTTTCCAACGATCCCTCACTTCCCGGAACAGACCCCTCCAGCCCATCCATATCTGAAGACCTTTCCATCTTTTTTGACACCACTTCGTCGAGGTAGTCTTCAGAAATCCAGGGTAAGTTCCTCTTAGAGGAAGGATTGTCACCATTGTTTGGTCCTTCACCAGGATAACCTTTTGTGCTGTCAAAGATCTTCCCAGTAGTGCGGTCCTGCGTAGAGAAGTTGGAAGCAACACGAGAGTACACTGACCACAAGAAAATCCTTGTGCCCGCCAGTCTTGACGACCCACTGGATGTCTCCTCTTCTGGAGAGACTTCTGGCGCTTTGCCATCCCTTCCAGTGTCACCAAGTGTCTCACCTCCAACATCTTCAATGGGAATAAGGGATTCATTGTTCCCTTGATCTAGTACCGCATCTTGTTGATCGGGAATCTCCAGCACCATTCCTGTAGGATCCACTTCTTCATCAGCATCGTCGTCCATTCTTCTCCAGAGAACTTCCAATTGATCAGCGCAAGTCGCTGCCTGGAGGAACTCCATCATTTGGTCCCTCCCGTGCTGCCAGAGAAACTCAGAATTCACCACTGTTCCTTGGCCACCAAGTTTAAGGAATGGAGCGACCAGATTGGCTTCCCTTGCCATAAGTTCCACATGAACTTCCATGCCTGGACTGCGACTCCAATCATAGGCTATTGCCTCCATAGCAGTTCCAAACTTTCCAGTATCCCTGAATTCCTTTTCCAGGCCAGGAGAAAGCAGTGCACCCATCACCGAAAGAGGATAATTTCCCACCACCGGCAAGCACGGATTGTCATGGAACGAATGATGCAAATCACAATAATATCCTTGATCTCTCCTTTCAAAAAGGAGTCTCCCAGTATTCAACTGGGCGTTCAGTTCATCCACTTGAACCATTTCAGCACATATTCTCTGTGCTGTGTACGCCATTGCTGGCCAGATGGAACGATCGGTCAGACCACGACGCATAACCCAATCAGTTGTTGGCGACTGAATCAGCGTCCTTGGATCATACACCAGAACTACCATCGCACCGTCACCCATTGACTGATCAGCATCGTCCTCCAGTGCCAGGTTCTCATCCTGTTCGCTTGCACCCTCGGATGACATGCTAATAACCAAATTTCGATCCATCTTATTGGACCCTTTTTGGCAGTCTCTTTGCCCGACCGGCAACTTGCCAACTGCCACCTTCCAATAAATCCGATTCAGAAGGCCTTTAACCAGCAATTGCTGAAGGTCACTCCTCACCAAACCACCGTCCAAATTCTTCGCATCATCACCACGGAGATCATTGCTCCCACCTTCTCCTTCATTTTGGTCAGTCTCCTCGCCGGGAATTTGCACTGCTCCTTCCAGCGCCGTCTCCTGTCCAGCCACTTCATGCCCAGGAAGAACTTGAGCGCTTTCAGATCCATTCACCTGTCCAGCAACACCTTGCCCAGGTAAAACCTCATCCGTGGAGCCCACCGCCAGCGAACCAACCATAACTGAGCCATCCCTTGCTCTTTTTTGAGACTGTTCAGTTCGACGAGAAGGTTGTGGTAGCGAAAAAACTTGAGAAGTCACTTCTTGGCGGGTCTCCCCCCGCGACGCTTTGTCGCGTTCTTTGCCAAGGTGAACCGATTTTTTCTGCCCGGCATTGGGGCCGGAAGAACCACCCATCGGAACATTGCCACGAATCGCAGTTCTCTGTGAATCCCTTTCTTGCAAAAGGATTTCCCGCATGCGGTGCACAGCATTGGTCTCTTCCTCGCTTGAATCGCTTGAGGAAGCGGCATAAGAAACCAAAGCCTCCGCCTGATCATCATCGTCCACCACATCTGCCCACGCTCTGCTGAACCGATACGACAACCCACCACGAGGCTTCAGTTCCAGTGGTTTTGGTTTCTCCACCACTTCCGCCGGTTGCGCTCGTCGCTGTGAGCGAGAGCGTGGCACCTGTCGCACCTGTTTTTTGTCCAGCAAGGGCCTTCCCCTTTTCACAGGGTTTGATCTTGACCGATATTTTTTTGTTGGTGGATTCACCGGTGGCATTCCAACTCCCACCAACTTCAGCTTCTGTACACACAGCGGAGACCTCTGCGCAAGCGTCCAAGCGTCACGGTACTTGACCTTATCAAAAAGCTCCCGATAGGAGCCTCTCGGCATCGTTTTTGCACCGGAGTCTTCAGCTTCACGCACCTGAGTGAGGGTTCGCACCGCCGCTCTTCCAGTCCCTTTGTTCCCAGAAGATTGTTGTACTCGTACAGATGCATCAGAAGGAACTGCCTTTTCCGGTCCTCCCGGTCGATATCGGACCTCACCCACCAATTGCAGAATTTTGCATGCGGTCACTTTGTTGATCCCTTTGTCAACCAAATCTTCCACAAAGATGAACTCTTGCAAGTCCGACACATTGGTCACACCAAGGGTAATCATCACCTCACTTACATGAGGGGTATACACCCACAGGTGTTGGTTGCGAGCCATCCAATTTTCAATTGGCTCCTCTGGATTGTGAAGCTGAGTGCTAGTAGACGCAGCCACCGAATTCTTTTGTTCGTCAGCCTCTTCTTCATCCAGAATACCCTTTTCACCATCTTTTTGTGACACATTGGTCATCTGCAGCGCTTTTGGTGCTGAGGAGGACGAAGATTCTGCTCCCCCACTTACTGGTGGTTGAAAAGCGTTCCTGTCAGGAATCTCCAATCCCTTTGCCCTTTGAAAGGACACATGGTTTGCCACATTCACCAAATGCTTCAACTGGGCCAGCCGGTCCTCAGACATCTCTTCGTGAGAATACTTGCAGCCAAATCGTACACGACATCTCCCTTTGAGATAGTAGTCGAAACAGCACTGGTGGAACCCCGCGTCCCTTATTGCCCTTCTGGAAGCATTGTCCCAAGATTTGCCAGGCTCCCAAGTCCCTTCCAATGCCACGTCATCGTCGTGGAGAAACCTGCACGCAGTCCCATATTTACAACCACTTTGGTTGTAATACAGACACAGCCGTTTCTTCGTTTCACCCAGCGTAGGCTCACCTTTTGATGTCCCTTTGCCATAGTTGTACTGGGCTCGGAAGGCCGAATCCTCCCGCTCCTGCTGCACCTCATCCACTGTACCTTCATCAGTTGGAGGGCCACCGATGTCCCCATCCTCGTCACCAGTTTTTTGGCTGTTCTTTGCCTCAGTTGGCTCTCCTTCAGGCCACCCTTCACCGTAGCGACGATGTTCATAGGAACACCCATCTCCATTTCGACACCTCCCTTGATTGAAGAACCTGCACAGCTTACTGTATCCAAGTGACACAGTTTTCGGAGTCGTGTGAGCCTTTTTGTACTGATCGGGATCCATATAGGTCTCTATCGGCCTGTTTTCCCTCTTGCTCATCTCCTCGACTGCACCGTCAAGCTCTTGCAGAAATCGCTTGGTGTCCAACCACAGCTCGTTCCAAAGCTCATCTTTTCCCTTGCTCAGCAACATTGCCACCGCTTCACCCACAACTGGTCCACTAAATCTTCTTTTCTTGCGTGCCAGTTCGTAGAGCGCGTCGTGGTACTGCTTCCGAGAAAAAGTGGTTGTTTCTTCCACACCGACACGTTCTTTCTCCTCAGGCTTCCAACCATCACTTAGCAAGATGTTGTATGCGCTCCGAGCCTCATTATTCAGGAATGCATGATCTGCAATACACTCCACAATCACGTCCATTGAACGACTCAGCAACATCCCAGTGATTTTGCCCACATAGTCCTTATTAATTGTTTCATCTTCCAGGAGATTTCGACAGATCTTCTCTCCATAGAGCTGTTTCTGCTCCGCCTCCTCTTGTTCCCTCGAGGATGCCTTTGACTCGGCGAACCACTCACGAGACTGCGGTTCCTCTGACTTCCAGTCCCATTGACCATCAGAACCTTTGTACCATTGACCAGTCTGCCATGAGCCTGTCCACCATGTACCCCAGCCGCTGTCCTTCCATTTGCGCAGCTTTGGCGAGGAATCCTCCTCGTTCTCTTCCAAAACCAGAAAGGTGTCCAAGATTATGGTACCATCATCTTCCACTCGTTTCACTGTTCCATTGACAGTATCACCAAATTGGAACTGATGTACATTGTTCCCTTCTGCAGGAATCAATACATTTAGATCACCATAGTCCAAAAAAGCTCCATACCCATTGATGCAGCGCACTAGACCAGTGATCTTATCTCCCTCTTCATAGCAATGTGTCCCAGGTGATTCCAAGGCTCCCGCTCGGGGCACTCTCTTTGCATGCTCTTCAGAAACCATCTCTGTATCATCGGCTCCTGGCGCATCCTTTGTCTTCACCTTTGGGTCACACTGCTCGTCCTGTTCCACGAGTCCCACAAGCTCATCTTTTTTGTGCTCTTGGATTTCAGGACTTCCCTTTTTCTCTGCCAAAGGCTTTGCCTCATCTGCTTCAGTTCGCTCGGTGTCGACTTCCGGTGAACTTCCAGACGGCAACGCTTCTCCCTTCATGGGAGTGGACCCTTCATTGGTGTCCTTTGTCACACCTTCTGCAGCAGGCAAATTTTCTTCCGCTGCAGGGCGATTGAGTTGATCATCCACGGCAGGCACACTTTCTTCCACCGCAGGCTCCTTTGGTTCCATGGTTTCCAAAGGAGAATTGCCACCATCATTGACCACAGCTGCCTCATTGGCTCCGGTGTAGTCCTTGTCATTTCGTTCCTCGCGGCTAATTTCAGGTTGCACCAGTGCGTCCACCTGTGAACCTCCATCATCAGCTGCTGCGGAGACCTGCGCCCCATTGTTGCAGTCGCCCGTGGAACGTACCACCATATGCACCTCAACCCGTGCCTCATTCGCACTCCAGGTACTATCTGGCGCATCGACCCGCGCTTCATTGGCGCTCCAGGCCTCATCTTTCTTATCAACCGTGTCTCCAGCAGTTTCAGAAGTTTCCTTTTCCCTTTGAATGGCAGATTTCTCGGCACCAAACGAAGAGACCTCCTCAGTCGTAATGCACAACTTTTTCTCTTCGTCATCCAAATCTCCAGGGCCATCTTCCTGAACGACAGGCACCACATCCACCACTCGCTCTTCTGTAGCCGACACAATTCCGATCTCCACATTGGGCATTTTTTCTTCTGGACCCACCGATTCCACCGCTGCCACACCCTCAGAAAGCATCCCCATTTCTTCCCGATCCAGATGTTGAGCTTCAGCGATGTCTGCTCGGTTTCCAGAAATCCCCTCTTCATCAGGAGAACCCGAGGTCGGGGCGTCACCACCACCCCTAGGACCGCTATCCCCGATAGTAGAGGAAAAATCCTTTTCACTTACACTATTCACACCGCTGTTCACACTTTCCATGCTACCCTGCTGTGCCCTAGAAGACTCAGTAGATGATGGAGACGAGGTAGCACCCAGCGTTGGCTCATCTTCCACAGGGACAATGCCCATTCCAACACCTGGCCCCTCGCTATTTCCAGCCATTCCAGTCTTCTTAGGCAACACCCATTGGGTATCACCAGTGTCCAAGCAGTAAAAATATTCTCTCCCATCCTCGTGAAAATGGCGTTCCCATGTCTTCCCATCGCAGTCGACGATTGGAAGGTCAGCAGCCTGAGACGCTTTGCCTCCACCACCAGCGTATAAGTCCTCGTCTGACTCTTGCTGTATTCTTGCTGCCTCCAATTCCTGGATTTCTCCTTCGCTCATCACCATAGCAACAGGAACGACTCCTTCTGCGTCCCCAACAACGAGGATACTGCTTTTTGTCGCAGCAACAGGCGCAGTTTCTTCCACTTCACCTGTCAACAGATCACCACTTTCACCCGCGAAACTCACCTTGTTGCGAGCTCGCTTGGAAACAGGGATAACATCCCCAACCAGTTCTGTCTGGCACCCTTGCTCCACCATCTTTGACGTAGAGGAGCTTGCTGTTGGCGCTCCCGTTGATTCAGCAGATTCCGCAGCTCGAAGAAGATGCCCATGTTTGCTCAGAAGGCGCAGCAAAACTGCTTCCATCTGGTCTTCCAGTCCTTCCACCACCGGCTTCTCTTCGCCACGCATACCACCAACATCAACCAGAGCTTCCTCATTGGGAACGACTTTTTCACCCGTTGCAGACCTTTTGACACCACCATCACCTTGGTCGCCCACATTGGAGCTTGATGATGCCACCCCAGTCCGTAACCAGTTGGTCGCCATGGCTTCAAGCTTCCACCCTAAAGCCGAAACACAAACCGCAGGGAACCTAATTTGGGCTCATAACCTACGGGGGGAACCCGAAGGGGGACGAGAAACCGAAAAGTCAACCCCAACAGAATCCCTTGATTTCCCTGGATCAACCACACAACAAACCCAAACCACAGGGCACTCACCTTTTACTACCAGGCACATGGCCCAGTCTTGAGCCAAAAAAATGATTTCCGGGTTTATTAACCCTTTCAACTTCCAACACTAACTTCTTTCTACAATACCAGTTGCAGCTCCGCACCCTAAACCCTAACCCTAAACCCTAAACCCTAAACCCTAAACCTGAACCCCAAGCCGAACTTCTAAAACCATTTCTGCTTGGCCCGACCCTCTGGACCTCAGAGGAGCCAGAAACTCAACCGGCAGGGTTTGGGGTTTGGGGTTTGGGGTTTGGGGTTTGGGGTTTGGGGTTTGGGTTTTGGCATTTTGGGGTTTGGGGTTTGGGGTTTGGGGTTTTGGGGTTTTGGGGTTTTGGGTTTTTGGGGTTTTGGGGTTTAGGCTTTAGGGTCCTGTGTTTTGGTATTTCTGCCCGATCTTCAAGGCACCTTTGCGGAGAGAGGGGGATAGTGCAGATAGCCCTCATCTTTAAACCGGCCCCCGACCCGAAACGTATCACAAACTACATGACAAAAAAGTTCTTAGGGCAGGGTCGGCTTAGGGCTTACGGCTTAGGGCTTAGGGCTTAGGGTTTTGGGCTTTTGGAGAGCTTAGGGCTCTCAAACCCTCGTTGCCCAGAAGCCGCGGCAGGGCAACACCCAGGAGACAATGGCCAAGAGGTTGTCCACCGCAGCCTGCCCAAGCACCCAGTACCTTTGCCGGCATAATAAACCCTAAACCCTAAACCCTAAACCCTAAACCCTAAACCCTAAACCCTAAACCCGAAACGACGAGTGTCATCCAGACCGGGTTTCGTTCACTCATTCTCTGTTCGTTCAGTAGATTCACTCACTTGTTACAGTCATTCTCTTCACATTCTCTTGATACTAATTCCTGTTGATGGACACATGAACCTGATGTTGGGGTCCCGTTAACAGCCCCAGTTTGACATATGCATTTCATGCGCAAAAGACGCTTATAAATCAATATTAAATTGTAAGGGTTTTGGGGGGGGGGGTGTCCTCCAGGCGGTCACGTGTTCGCTCACTCATTCACGCCCTCAGAAAATAATATCAAAATGGCAAGCGAACACGCGTATAAGCTTAACATTATTAATGGGGCGTTCACTTCATTCACTTCTCTCGCCCAAATAAGAATAACATCAAAAAGATGCCTTACAAAGACCTCCTACGAAGAAACCTCCTTCACCCCTGAACCCTAAACGCTAAACCAGAAACCCGAAACCCGAAACCCCAAACCCCAAATCCCAAATCCCAAACCCTAAACCCCAAACCCTAAACCCTAAACCCCAACCCTAAACCCTAAACCCTAAACCCCAAACCCTAAACCTAAAAGGTGCGGGGCACAGAAGCTTCAGTGCCCAGAACACCACCAGAAAGCAGAACACCAACGCGTTCGGCGTTGCCGCCGGTGTGAGGGCCTTCTCCTCGCGAGTTTAGGTTTGAGGATTTAGGGTTTAGGGTTTGGGGTTTGGGGTTTAGGGTTCGGGGTTTAGGGTTTAGGGTTTAGGGTTTAGGGTTTAGGGTTTAGGGTTTAGGGTTTAGGGTTTAGGGTTTAGGGTTTAGGGTTTAGGGACCCTAAACCCCAAAAGCGCTGGAGTCTCCACCACTGCCGCCGCTTCACTCCCCAGGAGATTCCCGAGCTGTGTCGCGTAGTCCGTCGCTGCACCCGCTTCAAACCGCTGCCTGGTTGGTCAAGGGGTTCATGGTTTAAGGTTTAGGGGTTTATGGTTTAGGAGTTTAAGGTTTAAGATTTAAGGTTTAGGGTTTATGGTTTAGGAGGTCAGGGTTTAAGATTTAAGGTTTGGGGTTTACAGGTCCCGGGCGAACTCATGAGAAGCAACAGCCGTCAGAACAAAACGCAAGTAGTCCGGCAGTCCATCAAAATTCGAGTTTATGTGTCGCTTCTGTTTGTGACTCACCCTACTCATTAAGCCCCTAAACCCCCAAACCCCTAAACCCCTAAACCGCTGAAGCCGCCAAACCCCTAGGACCCCCAACCCCCAAACCCCCTAACCCCCTAACCCTAAACCCCTAAACCCTAAACCCCTAAACCCTAAAACCCCTAAAACCCCTAAAACCCCTAAAACCCCTAAAACCCCTAAAACCCCTTAAACCCCTTAAACCCCTTAAACCCCTTAAACCCCTTAAACCCCTTAAACCCCTTAAACCCCCACTCACTCTCCAGGCGATCCAAGGTGCTCGTTCTGGACCATGAGGGTCTCGGAGCCATAGACCCAGACCGCCACGGCGCAGTGGCAGAACACGGCCACCTGCACCCAGCGCGCCATCCCACGCGCGAGCTCCTGCGAGCGGCTTGGGGTGCTAGGGCTTTGGGTTTGGGGTTGAGGGTTGAGGGTTTAGGGTTTAGGGTTTGGGGTTTTGGGTGTGGCAGGGGAGGGCGCGCGCTCGGGTGTGAAACACCCCGGGCCGCGCGCTCGCGTTGCCCGTCAACCCACCCCGGCCACCCAAACTATACTCTATTAGGGTTTAGGGTTTATGGAATGTATTTTCTTGTGCCCTGATGCTTGCTTTGATGTTTTTAAAGTTGCGCTGTTAGGGTTTAAGCTGGGGTTGGGGGTAGCCTCGGCCCTTTTCGGGCCTTCGGCGTGTCAGGGCCTTATTTTATTTGAAGGTCAGGGAAACCCTTTGTGCCTGCTCCTGGATTCCCCTTTTAAGGGCCTGAAGCCTTTTGGTGGCTCTTGGGGCCTTTTGGGGGCTTCCTGTCCGGGGTAAAATGAAGGGGTGCCCAAAACCATCGATTTCAGTACAAAAAAATCGCATTTTTCATGCCGGGTACGGGCATCCTGGGGTCCCCCTTCTTTTAGGGGGCTTTTTGGCTCTTTGGGGTCTCTCGGGGCCCTGTTCGGACCTTCGGCGTGTCAGGCTTTATTCAGTTGAAGGTCAGGGAACCTATTAGTTTTTTTTCGCCAATGAGTATTTCAATCGCTGGGGTTTAAGCTGGGGTTCGGGGTAGCCTCGGCCCTTTTCGGGCCGTCGGCACGTTAGGGCCCGTAGAGGCAGAGGCCCTTATTTGCTTGAAGGCCTTCGCAGGTTTTGCGGTGTTAAGGTTTAAGCTGGGGTTCGGGGTAGCCTCGGCCCTTGTCGGGCCTTCGGCACGTCAGGGCCCGTAGAGGCCTTTGCTGATTTGGGGGGTTTCTGGGCTTTCCTGGATCTAGCCCTGAAAAAGGCCTTCTGCCCTTGGTTCGGGGGGCCCTTGGCCCGGGCGGCACTTAGCCTGGCAGGCCCTTTGCCTGGGGGCCGGGGGCACCCTTGGCCGAGACTGACCGTCTCTTGCTCAGCACAGCCAAGTCCTTTCGCTGAGCCTTGATCTCATTGCATTGGCCCCTTCCTGACCTACCGTCGGGCAAGTCAAGCCGATGGTCACTTCTCCTGCCTCCACCGGCCTCCGCAGCTTCCCATTCTCTTGCTGGCATCCGCTTGAGTCAGTCAAGCCTTGAATCCCTGGTTCGGGGGGCTTGGCCTTGCCTGGGGGCTCTTGGGGGGCCTTGGTTTCCCCCTTCTTGGGTTGAGGGGTCTGGGTGGGGGGGCAGGGCGGGGGCCCTTGGCCCGGGGGGCCTTGGCCGGGGGGCTGATAGAAAATCCATCAAATTGAGCAATCCGGCTGCCTAGACCCCCTCGCCAGCCTCCTGGTCCAGGAATCCAGCCACCAGGGGCCAGGGCGCGGGGGGGGGGGGCCGGCAAACCCTGAACCCAAAACCCTGAACCACGTCCAGAGGAAAAGGGTTAGGATTTGGGTTAGACTTTAGCTACGCTAAAGGTGGGGTGCCGGCCATCCCTTATGCCGAGTACTGACGTTGTCGTAAACAAGGCCGATGGGGTTTTGGGTTTAGGGTTTAGGCACTTGGTTCTCAGTAGGGAATGAGGGAAGTAAGGGCGCCTCACATACCCCCAAGAAATCTAGGTCCCTAATTCCCCTCATTCCTAAACCCTTAACCCTGAACCCTAAACCCCAAACCCTAAACCCTAAGAACCAGCAAGATCAGGGCTTCGCGTGCCAAAGGCGCCTGCTTGTGCCGCGGGGGCACCGAGCTGCCTCGTAGGAACTGGAACTTGTGGATCCAGTACCTTCGTTGGCTCCCTTTTTTGAGGTTTAGGGTTTAGGGTTTAGGGTTTAGGGTTTAGGGTCTAGGGTCTAGGGTCTAGGGTCTAGGGTCTAGGGTCTAGGGTCTAGGGTCTAGGGTCTAGGGTCTAGGGTCTAGGGTTTGGTGTTGAGTGCATATGGCATAGGGTTTAAGGTTTAGGGGTAGGGTTTAGGGCATAGGGTTTAGGGTTTCGGGTTCAGGGTTCAGGGTTCGGGGTTCAGGGTTCAGTGGGCATTGGGAGTTGGAGAGTTTTGGGGTTGAGAGCTGTAGGGCTTTAGGGGATAGAGGCGTGGCTTTTGCAGTCAGGTACCTGACATACTTAAAAAGGAATTCCCACACACCCAACAAAAAGCAGAAAGAGGAGGAGCCCTAAAGGAACCGACATGAGCACAGAGAGGGTCCAAGGTGCATAGAGTACAACCGCACTGCCAGCACCTTACTTTAACTCTCCAACAACAAAAAAATCAAAAAAAGGTCTAACTTTAAGGTTCTTCCAAAACAAGGCAACCCAAAAAAGCTATAAAAGCTCCGCCATTGGCTGAAGTAAGGCACAACCAGCACCCCTGGCAGGCAGCTGGAGAAGAGCAGCCCAGCAAAGACCAGGCTCAGCTGGTCGGCGTGGTTCGCGGCCTAAGGATCACCGGATTTTTGTGTTCAGGAGAATGGGAGTTTAGGCTTTAGGGCTTTGAGGGCGGCTGGGGGGGTTCAGGGCTGGGGTTTAGGCGGTTGAGGGGTCTTAGGGGATCTAGGGGGCTTAGGGGGCCTTCGGGAGGTCTACGGTTTTAGGGGGTTTGGGGGAGTTCGGGTTGTTCCGATGAACCAGCCAGCTGGCAAGCTCGAACTGCGGCGGCGTAAAGAGCTCCTTCATGGATTGCCAGTCCGCCTTCCGCCCTCCAAGGCCTCGGTAGCGCAGGAACCATCTGAGAATAAGCGTGCCCTTCTTGGGGCTTAGGGCTTAGGGCTTAGGGCTTAGGGCTTAGGGCTTAGGGCTTAGGGCTTAGGGCTTAGGGCTTAGGGCTTAGGGCTTAGGGCTTAGGGCTTAGGGCTTAGGGCTTAGGGCTTAGGGCTTAGGGCTTAGGGCTTAGGGCTTAGGGCTTAGGGCTTAGGGCTTAGGGCTTAGGGCTTAGGGCTTAGGGCTTAGGGCTTAGGGCTTAGGGCTTAGGGCTTAGGGCTTAGGGCTTAGGGCTTAGGGCTTAGGGCTTAGGGCTTAGGGCTTAGGGCTTAGGGCTTAGGGCTTAGGGCTTAGGGCTTAGGGCTTAGGGCCTAGGGCTTAGGGCTTAGGGCTTAGGGCTTAGGGCTTAGGGCTTAGGGCTTAGGGCTTAGGGCTTAGGGCTTAGGGCTTAGGGCTTAGGGCTTAGGGCTTAGGGCTTCGGGCTTAGGGCTTAGGGCTCAGGGCTTAGGGCTTAAGGCTTAGGGCTTAGGGCTTAGGGCTTAGGGCTTAGGGCTCAGGGCTTAGGGCTTAGGGCTTAGGGCTTAGGGCTTAGGGCTTAGGGCTTAGGGCTTCCGGCTTAGGGCTTAGGGCTAGGGGCTTAGGGCCTAGGGCTTAGGGCTTAGGGCTTAGGGCTTAGGGCTCAGGGCTCAGGGCTTAGGGCTTAGGGCTTAGGGCTTAGGGCTTAGGGCTTAGGGCTTAGGGCTTAGGGCTTAGGGCTTAGGGCTTCGGGCTTCGGGCTTCGGGCTTAGGGCTTAGGGCTTAGGGCTTAGGGCTTAGGGCTTAGGGCTTAGGGCTTAGGGCTTATCGGGCTTAGGGTTTCCCAAAATTTCGGGTCTAGGGTTTCCAAAAAAACAGGCAAAAGGGCAACACGGGGCCACCAAGAGGCAGTAGCACTTCAGCTTGAAGAGCAAAACGAAGGCGATCGCAACCACCTCGTTCCTTTTAGGGCTTAGGGCTTAGGGTTTAGGGTTTAGGGTTTCGGGTTTAGGGTTTAGGGTTTAGGGTTTAGGGTTTAGGGCCCTGAAAGAATTCGAAAAAGAAAACAAAGTTACACCACTATGACAAAGGTTCATGATGCTGAAGATAAACAGGGTCAGGATCTCGACGCCCACCGCTGCGTGCCACGCCTTGCCGGTGTTTTCGGGGTTAGGGTTTAGGGTCTAGGGTTAAGGGTTTGGGGTTTAGGGTTTGGGGTTTGGGGTTTGGGGTTTCGGGTTTAGGGTTTCGGGTTTCGGGTTTAGGGTTTAGGGTTTAGGGTTTAGGGTTTAAGGCCACGCCTTGTCGATGTCTTTGAACTGCCCAGCACCGAGAAGACCCAGGAGACCCTTGAAGCTGCCGATGTAGAACCTAGACCCAAGGGTATAGCCTGGAAATATAAAAGGGTACCCTTTTTGGGGTTTAGGGTTTAGGGTTTAGGGTTTGGGGTTTAGGGTTTAGGGTTTAGGGTTTAGGGTTTAGGGTTTACGGTTTAGGGTTTAGGGTTTAGGGTTTAGGGTTTAGGGTTTAGGGTTTAGGGTTTAGGGTTTAGGGTTTAGGGTTTGGGTTTAATTAGGGCTACCCGTCTTCCAGACCCAAGAGTGACCTGGGAATAGGAAAGGGTGCCCTTCTGGTAGGGCCTAGGAACTGAAAATCTGCGTTCACCAGCGTCACCACCACACCCAGCGTCAGCACTTTCACGACAAAGGTCATTTGCATCATTCGCGACTCCAGGACCGTAAAGTTCGGAGGCTGCGCGAAGTGTGCAATCATGGAAATAAAAACCCCTGCGGCGAGGTTGATGACAGATGAGAAGACGACGGCCAGCATCATCATGGCCTGATACTCCCTACTACTCCCTGAGGCTCCCGAAGCTTCCCGAAGGTTCTCTAGGTACCTACCCCCCCCCCCCCCTCCCTTAAGAACCCTATAATTATTCCCTTTTTTTGGAGGGCTTGGGCTCCCCTCTCCTGGGAGTACGCGAAAGTCTCCAACCAGGAGTTGCACTCCTGCCGACTTCCAGCAGGTACGTCGCGAAGCACATTCTGTATTCCGATCTCCGTGCAGTTGCAGTACAGCCTGTGGATTCCCCCAAAGCGCCCCTCAGCCCTTAACCCTACTTGGAGGTTCATGGTACTTATTAACCAAATATAACTTCAACTGTATTCGCAACCCACTTATAAGACCCTTATGTGCCCTAATATGGTTACAATTGGGTTAGAAGTACAGTTATCATTGGGTTGACAAGTGCCCTAAACCCTATACCCTAAACACTAAGCCCTAAACCCCAAACCCTAAAGCCTAAACCCTAAACCCTAAACCCTAAACCCTAAACCCTAAACCCTAAACCCTGAACCTCCAAGTAGAATTTACAGGGTGCCCTGACTTGGCTACCTCCAAGAAAAAGGAGAAAAGCAAAGGGGCACGGCTGGACAGCCTGCAAGGGCTTCGTGAGGTCTTGTAAGGTGAACCCGAAAGGGCTACAAGGGTTTAGGGTTTAGGGTTTAGGGCTTAGGGTTCAGGGGTTTAGGGTTTGGGGTTTTGGCTTCAGGGTTTAGGGTTTAGGGTTTAGGGTTTAGGGTTTAGGGTTTAGGGTTTAGGGTTTAGGGTTTAGGGTTTAGGGTTTAGGGTTTAGGGTTTAGGTTAGGGTTTAGGGTTTAGGGTTTAGGGTTTAGGGTTTAGGGTTTAGGGTTTAGGGTTTAGGGTTTAGGGTTTAGGGTTTAGGGTTTAGGGTTTAGGGTTTAGGGTTTAGGGTTTAGGGCTAGGGAAGAGTCCTCTCCTGGGGCATCCGAGCAGCTTCTGGGCGTCTGTGGCGTTGGCGCCGACAGGGCAGCTACTGCCTTGGGCCTTCGCGGCCTCTCTTCCCCACTTTGCCAGGCTCAGGCAGAGGATCATGACCTACTAGGGTTTAGGGTTTAGGGTTTAGGGTTTAGGGTTTAGGGTTTAGGGTTTAGGGTTTAGGGTTTAGGGTTTAGGGTTTAGGGTTGAGCATGTGGGTTTAGGGTTTAGGGTTTAGGGTTTGGGGTTTAGGGTCTAGGGTTTAGGGTTTAGGGTTTAGGTGGAAGCCATTTTTGACTTAGCAAGTAGGGTTGTACTAAAGGTCTTCTAGGGGGTACTAAGCAGACTTGCTAAGTCGGAAGGGCTTCCAAGTAGGGGTTAAGGTTCAGGGTTTGGGGCTTCGGCTTACGCCGTTCGTGGGGTCATATACGGGTCCTCTGAATGAAACCATGACGAAACCGAAGTCTCCCCATTGTTGCATGCTCACGTAGCGCATCTTGCTGACGACGGCCGGGCGGCGAGAACAAGAATCACGAAGACCCCGCCGATAACGACCCTCTTGAAAAGCCGCCAGCCCTTTGGGCAATCAATGTTCTCCCAGAAGATGTCCGCCGGCAGGGGCGCGTCGGAGGCGCGAATCGCTTCGCCTTGAAAGCGTTGGTCGTCACCCTGCAGCCACCTGGAGATTCTCGGGATAATAATCTACTAATAATAATACGAATATTACTATTAGAACTAATTATAATATTACTACCAATACTAATGCTATTGCGATTAGTAATAGTATGAGTACTAAAGTAATGGTTATGGGGTTCGATTAGGGTCTACAGGGCTCTAGAGAGCTTTAGAAGCTTGGGGGTTGGGGCTCAGGGTTGAAGAGGGCTGCTAAAGGCCCTTCCACCCTCCCAAGGTGCAAGCAGCGCACGCGAGATTCTAGGTGCAAGGCCCTGAAACCCTAAACTCTGAACCCTTAATCCCCCTTGAGCTCTCCGATGTCAGGCGCCTGCCCAAGCCGATGATTCGGCTGAAGCGATACTCTTGGCTGATAAACTCCTTGTGTTTCACCTGGATGGGGGGAGAGGGCGGGGGAAGCTGGAGGTTTAGGGTTTTTAAGGGTTTGGGGTTTAAGATTTAGGGCTTCTACCCTAGACCCCATGAACCCTATAAACACCAAACTGCAGGGGTCCCTTTTTGGGTGGGGGGGGGGGGGCGAGAAGCAACGGGGGATGACAATAGGGCCCCTCAAAAGGGTCCAAAACCATAAGATGAATCTCCCTGCACGGGTTTAGGGGTTTAGGGGTTTAGGGGTTTAGGGGTTTAGGGCTTTGGGGCTTTAGGGCTTTAGGGCTTTAGGGGTTTAGGGGTTTAGGGGCCCTCCCACGTGGGTGAAGGTGACGAAAGCGCCAAGAACCTCCAGCTCCTCCACTTTCCTCGGCAGTTCTGTTCAGGAGCGTAAGTGCAGATGCCAGCGCCAGGATCGATGGTGTTTTAAAACCCCGCTCAAAGCTACACCTTAAGCCTTCCGATTGCCCTTGACCCTGAAACCTAAACCCTAAACCCTAAACCCGAAACCCGAAACCCTAAACCCCAAACCTTTCAATCTTCAGTTCCCTACCAACAGCCCAGCTTCAGCTCCTGCAGCTGCTTAAGGACTCTGTCTTTCTCTGCCTGGCCCATGGAGAGCTTTGAGTTTAGGGTTTAGGGTTGAGGGTTGAGGGTTGAGGGTTTAGGGTTTAGGGGTTAGGGTTTAGGGTTTCGGGTTTAGGGTTTAGGGTTTAGGGTTTAGGGTTTAGGGGTTCGCGTACCACATTTATGGACGCATCGATGATGCAAGCACACAGCGCGATGCACCGACAGACAAATGAGCAATGCCAAGTACAATTCTTAAGAAGAAACAAGTACCCCGACCACAGCTGGCTTCTGAACCCCGCAACCCAAAACCCTAAACCCCAAACCCAAACCCCTAAACCCCTAAACCCCTTCTGAGCCCCCACACTCCTGAACCCTAAGCCCTAAACCCTGAACCCTAAACCCTAAACCGCAAACCCAAAACGATAAACCCTAAACCCCTTTTGAACCCCCAAGCCCTGCCTCATCGAGTTCCTCGGAATGCCTCCGAGTCCTCCTGGCGCTCCCGCCCTGCTTCTTCTGCTTCTGGTTGTGGGCCCTGGCGGACTGCACCCGATGCCCTCAAGCCCTAGACCGTAAACTCTAAGCTCAAAACCGGAAACCCCAAAACCCCTAAAACCCTAAACCCCGAAATCCTAACCCCTAAACCCTACACCCTAAACCCTAAACCCGAAAACCCAAACCCTAACCCTAAACCCTAAGCCCCAAACCCTAAACCCTAAACCCTAAACCCTAAACCCTAAACCCTAAACCCTAAACCCTAAACCCTAAACCTTAAACCCTAAACCCTAAACCCTAAACCCACCCTGGGTGCCTCTGGGCACTGTCCACCGCAGCCCGGAACCGGCCGAGGCTGCCCCGGAAGTCTCTGACCAAGCCTAGGGTTTGGGGCTTTGGGCTTTGGGCTTTGGAGTTTAGGGTTTAGGGTTTAGGGTTTAGGGTTTAGGGTTTAGGGTTTGGGGTTTAGGGTTTAGGGTTTAGGGTTTAGGGTTTAGGGTTTAGGTTTAGGGTTTGGGGCTTTGGGGTTTGGGGTTTGGGGTTCGGGGTTTAGGGTTTAGGGTTTAGGGTTTAGGGTTTGGGGTTTGGGGTTTGGGGTTTGGGGGTTTAGGGTTTAGGGTTTGGGTTTGGGGGTTTAGGGTCTAGGGTTTAGGGTCTAGGGTGTAGGGTTTAGGGTTTAGGGTTTAGGGTTTGGGGTTTAGGGTTTAGGGTTTGGGGTTTAGGGATTAGGGTTTAGGGTTTAGGGTCTACGCATTCGGTTTGTTTTTGCATTTAAGCTTTCGCGCCCTTTTCAGGGTCTCTAATGTGGTTGAGGGTTTAGGGCGTAGGGTTCTGGGATATTCTGGCCGTGAGCAAGTCTGAGGGATACAGCTCTCATCTAGGGGCGTCCTTTGATGACAATGGGTATTTTGGGTAGTTCTATTGGTACGATATGAATACACGGCCCTAAACCCGAAAACCCTGAAACCCTAAAACCCTAAACCCTGAAACCCTAAAACCCGAAAAACCTTAAAGCAATCAAACCCTGAAACCCTGAAACCATTCAGCCACCGAAGAGGTAATATAGGGGCCTGAATAATTGGAATAGGGTTTTGAGTATAATCATCAAGGGACCCTAAGCCATTAGTAGCCCTAAACCCTAAACTTTAACCCTATACCCTAAACCCTAAACCCTAAACCTCATGGCAGTTTGGCTGCGGCCTCTGGGAGCACGGGAAGTCTCTAGGAGTTTTTGAGGGGGTTTTGGGGGGTTTTGCGGGGGTTTTTGGGGGGGTTTTGGGGGGTTTTGGGGGGTTTTGGGGGATCTTGCCGTTTGAGTTTAGGGGTTTAGGGGGGGGTTGAGGGGTTCTTCACGGTTTAGGGGCTTGGGAGGCTTGGGAGCTGTGAGCCCTCACCCTTAAAAGGCCCAAAACCGCAAAACTCCGAAACCCCAAAACCCCTAAACCCCAAAACCCTGGCCCTAAACCCTAAACCCTAAACCCTAAACCCCCAACCCCTAAACCCTAAATGCCGTCCGGGAGCTCACCTTGTGCACGGTCGATCGGCCACCCTCCGCTGGGGCGCAGCCCGCGTGTTCGAGGCGGTGGAGTAGGCTGGCCGCGAGCCTCAGGTGGGTTTTGAGGGTTTAGGGTTTAGGGTTTTGGGTTTAGGGTTTAGAGTTTAGGGTTTTCAGGAAGGGGCTTAGGGTTTTGGGGGCCCCTGAATTTTAGGGCTTCTAGGGTTTAAGGATTTAGGGTTTGGGGTTTTTGGTGAGGTAATAGTGTTCTGGCATTTTTGGACTTCGGATTTTGGTTCCAGGAAGTAAGGGATTCGGGAGAGGGTTTTGGGGTTGAAGGAACGCGCCCGCCCGCAAGCACACTCAACGTCGCGTGCCGAGGAAAAGGACCCCACCGCTAAGTTGGTGTTGTTGTTTTGTGTAAAGGGTGCTTTTGCTGCTCTATGGTTTGTCCTTTCCTTCTTCTTACGTTAAACATATACGAGCCAAGATGCGCAACGGATGTGCAAAACAGCAGGCATTTCTATTTACATGTACTCTTCTTGTTGCGGCTGTTACTGTGCTTATGTGGTTGTGGTTGTGGTCGTTGTCGTGTCCGTGGTCGTGAATGGTGTTGCTGTTCTTGCTGGTTCTTGCTGTTCTTGTTCTCGTTGCGATTCTTGCTATTGTTCTCGCTCTTGTTGTTCTTGTTGCTGTTGTTATTGCAGCTCCGCTTCATTTTGCTCTTCCCCAAACCCCCCTAAACCCTAAACCCTAAACCCCCTCCCCCGCAAAAAAATCACCAAGCAAAACGAAGCCTCCACGCTGCACCCTTACCTAAGTCCTTGTCTGCTTTGGGGCTTAGCCGGCTGTGAGTGACAGTCCTGCGGGTTTAGGGTTTAGGGTTTAGGGTTTAGGGTTTAGGGTTTAGGGTTTAGGGTCTAGGGTCTAGGGTCTAGGGTCTAGGGTCTAGGGTCTAGGGTCTAGGGTCTAGGGTCTAGGGTCTAGGGTCTAGGGTCTAGGGTTTAGACATCTTAGGCATCTTGGACAGGGAGCAATCCAGCCTGGCCCTCAGCAGACTCCTGACATCAAAGAAGGATCTTGGGCGAGCGGAGTTGAGGGGTAAGGGGCTTCGGGCGTCGGGTTTGGTTGGGGTTTAAGGACTAGAACCAACCAAACCCTTAGTCCCTAAACCCTCAGCCCTAAACGCTTAAACCCTAAAGCCTAAACCCTAAACGCCACACCCCAAGAAACCCCCGAAATTCCGGCTCCTGCGACTCCTGCGGCTTCAAGGACTCGCGAACGGGCGGAAGGAGCTGGGACTGCGCGCCTGGCCATCGGACCTCGCACGTGGCCTGGTCCTCGCAGCCTCCCGGGAACGAGGATGATTTAGGGTTTAGGGGTTAGGGTTTAGGGTTTAGGGTTTACGGTTTTGGGTTTTGGGTTTTGGGTTTTGGGAACGGCGGCTCAATCCAGGGGCGGCTTATCCGAAAACATTCTCAGAAACCCGCTTAGGCATGAAGCGTTCAACCCTGACCCTTACAACCCCGAACCAACCCTCAAACCCCGAACCCTAAGCTCCAAACCCAAAAACTCTAAGCCTCAAACCTTAAACCACAACCTGCTAGACCTTAACCCCGAATCTGAAGCTTTACACTTTACAATGGAAATACCCTTTTTCCAGTCCTAAAGCCTAAACTCTAAACCTTAAACCCTTAAACCAACCCAAAACCCTGGAAACACCAGCCCTTCACCCTCATACATACTCGTAAGTATAAACTAAATCACAGCCGACCAGTAAGCCCAGCTCAGTCCAGCCAGAACGCACCTTAAACAGTCAACCTTAAACCCGGTAAATGCCCAACCCTAAACCCCAAAGTTCCAAAGCTTTTGCCCTAAGCATGAGCCCTGAACCCATGAACGCCCTAGCCGTAACTCTCAAACCATGATGAAGCTCAACCCATTAACCCTGAAACCGTATGCCCCAAGCCCTCAACCCCAAAACGGCCAAAAAAACCTAAACCGGCAACTTCTGTCTTCGGCGGCCATGCACAATGTCCATCCCATGTGGCATATCCTGTCTTTTTTGCCGGGATAGCTCACGCGTTGAAAGGACATCCTCAAAGCGTGCAATGGCGTTTATGCTCCCACGATGAGACTCGACAAGCAAGTACTTGCAAGGGCCTCCCACGATGAGACGCGACAAGCAACGGTCACTTGCTAGGGCCGTATATGGCCTGCGAGGGGCAACAACTTACCAAAGTCAGAACACCTCCACGTGCGGCCAGTACGCTGCGGCAACCGAATCCCTTGCAAACATCTCGCCAGGGAGTTTTTCAACACACGACTTCAGAGGACCTCCGATCTTGAGGCAGTCTGTAAACTCAACATCCGCAGAAATAGCAAGGCGTCTCATGCCCGCGCCAAGGGGGCGAGGTCATGTGCCGTCTCTACTGGTTACTTTGTTGTTGCAAGGCAAAGCCACGGGCCCCTGGTGTCCCACGCGGAGGGCAGAGAAACAGAATGCACGTATGGGGACGCCTGGACAGGTCGGCCTCCCGTGCACCCCCAAGCAAGAGGCCTCGGCTGCTGGCCAAATAGAAAGCGGCCTGGGCATCTAGAGCTCTGCTTGACTGTGGTGCTCCAAGTAAGCAACCCCAAATTATCACGAAACGATTGAGGAACTAGAGGAACTGAGCCCCAACCCCCCCCCCCCCCACCCCGCCGCCCACCCCCCCCCCCACCCCCAACAAAATTCATGCGAGTTCATGCGCCTTGGGAAACCATGCCGATGCGGCGGCCCTTCCGGTCCAGATCACGCTGCCAGGAGCAGCAGCTCCTGTGACGGGTGACTCCAGGGCTTGGAGTCGACGGTTTAGGGTTTTTAGGGTTTAGGTTGGGATCTTGCCCCGTATACTAACAGTACCACCCCGATTATGATCCCTACTAAGGACTGCGAAATATAGGGGGAACATCCCAAGCTTTAGGGTTCATTAAGTGTCCTAGGATTTAGGATTTGGGGTGTAGGGCTTACCGGTCAGCGTAGGCATTTGGGTTTGGACTTTGCTGGCAGCCCTCGCAAATTGTCGAACGAAATGTGGCTTAAAAGCGCTCTGATTCAGGCAGGGTTTGGGATGGCCTTCAGGGCTGTTAGAAAACACCCCGTTCAGGGGGCTCACCATTCCGCATCTGCGGAGCGCGCGTGCTAGAATCTAGGCTTTAGCGGCGGGTCTCTAGGGTCTGTAGGGTTTAGGGTTCGGGGTATTGGGGTTTTAGCCTTACAATCCTAAATCTGAAGCCCTGTACCGGGTTCGCAGCAGCCTTAGCGAGCCCACCCACAGGCTGGGACTCAAAGAAAGAGCGCAGTAGTGTAATCGTGAAGTAGATGATCGTTTGGGATGTTCCCCTTATACTAACAGTCCTTGATGGGGATTAGAGTACCCCCGATTATAACCCTAACCCCGGACCCCTATTAAGGACTGTTCGTATTAGGGGGAACATCCCGGATGATGGTCCTTAAGGAGATGGAAGCCCCCCCCCCCCCCCCACAATCGGGAAAGAAGAAGATGATCCCTGTGTAGCCTGTTTGGAAACTATATCATACAAATCCTTAATCCTAAACCCTAAACCCTAAACCCTAAACCTAAACCCTAAACCCTAAACCCTAAACCCTAAACCCTAAACCTAAACCCTAAACCCTAAACCCTAAACCTAAACCCTAAACCCTAAACCCTAAACCCTAACCCTAAACCCTAAACCCTAAACCCTAAACCCTAAACCCTAAACCCTAAACCCTAAACCCTAAACCCTAAACCCTAAACCCTAACCCCTCCCTCCTCTTCCATCGACCTGGGGGTCTGTTAGGGGAACCCTTGCCCGGAGGCCTCGCGGGCGGCTGGTCCAGAAACTGCTCTGCACGGCCGATCACCTGCCCATGTGAGGGTGAAACCCTAAACCCTAAACCCTAAACCCTAAACCCTAAACCCTAAACCCTAAACCCTAAACACCCCGCCTAGGGTTGTCAGCGTTTTGGCGGCTGCTTAGGGCTCAGAGTCCTAAGCCCGGGGTCCAAATCCCCCAATAACACCCCTCAACAAAAACACAGGAAGCCCTCTTAAGCCCTCTTGCGCAAGCCTTTGGGGTTTTCAGGCCTAAACCATAAACCCTAAACCTTACACCCTAAACCCTAAACCCTAAACCCTAAACCCTAAACCCTCAACCCTCAACCCTCAACCCTAAACCCTAAACCCTAAACCCTAAACCCTAACCCTAAAGCCGAAACCCAAGGGTGCTTGCACCTCGACCCCTGTCTTGGCGGCCGCCGGCGCTAGCTCCGCATTCAGCAGCTGCTCGAAATGGTCTTTCAGGAGCTGCTCGTACCTTCAAGGGGTTGAGGGTTTAGGGTTTAGGGTTTAGGGCGTTGAGGGCGTTAAGGGCGTTAAGGGCGTTTGGGGCTTTTGGGGCGTTTAGGGCGTTTGGGCGTTTAGGGCGTTTGGGGCGTTTAGGGCTTTGGGATGTTAAAAGGATTTTGAGTTTAGTTTAATTGGGAGTTTAGGGTGTCGAGTTTTCGGCTTGGGGCTACGTAACCTAGATTTCGGTTCTGGGGCTTTTTTAGGGGCTTTGCGGCGTTGCTGCCTTTGAGGTGTGTGCCTTCGGATTCAGGACTCAGGGTTCAGGGTTCAGGGTTTAGGGTTCAGGGTTTAGGGTTTAGGGTTTAGCGTTTAGGGTTTAGGGTTTAGGGTTTAGGGTTTAGGGTTTAGGGTTTAGGGTTTAGGGTTTAGGGTTTAGGGTTTAGGGTTTAGGGTTTAGGGTTTAGGGTTTAGCTCCCGGGGATTGATCGCAACAACCGCCCAAAGGCACTCCAAGTGGGACTCAATTCGCCGCGGGAGGCCGCTGATGTACAGCCTCAGGTGGAATCGACAGACGACTGACCATGCAAGGCGTTTGCTCCCAAGATCCCTATTAAGAACGAACAACCCGAAACCCTCAACCCTAAACCCTACACCACACCTCCTAAATCCTAAACCCTAAACCCTGAACCCTAAACCCTAAACCCTAACCCTAAACCCTAAACCCTAAACCCTAAACATAAGGAGGGAGCGTGTAGGCATCCGGCGTCACGACTTCCTTCCGCTCCCGCGCCACGGCATCGGGGATGGTCTTTTGGATAAACCAAAGCCTGGGTTTCGGGTTTCGACCGTGGGCTTCTTTTCTCAGGGTTTAGGGTTTAGGGTTTAGGGTTTAGGGTTTAGGGTTTAGGGTTTAGGGTTTAGGGTTTAAGGTTTAGGGTTTAAGGTTTAGGGTTTAAGGTTTAGGGTTTAGGGTTCAGGGGTGTCACCCGGCAACTCCCCAAACGGCCATGAGTATGCTTCACAGGATACTCTGTTACAATACGGCATCATCGCCTTCAGGCTTAGAAGAAGGCATGCAAAGGGTGTCTCGATGAGTGGGCGCGCTGGTGCTGAAAACACCTTTCGAACTCTGATCGCGCGTTTGCTTTTCTCGCTATTGGTTATGCCATGCAAGCTTCAAGAGTCGAAAAGTTGTCCGATAATTTCGCTGTTTGAGGTTTGGCGTTGGGGATTGGCT